ATCATGCCGATTACATCATATTTCCTTGCCGAATATAAAAATGTAGCACGTGCATTCTTGTGAATTACAGTATATTAACACTGTCACAGCAGGAACACATATAATTACCGTATCTCTACAACTTGAACTAATATTGAAAAAATAAGTGTCATTCCTGTTTTAGCACATTAAAAATAGTAATATTTTGTTGATTTTATTTAGGATATTTTTTGGCCGTTGATCAGTGTTACCAACTCTGACATTTTCTCTGTTATTTTTCATAATGCCCCTGCCGTTGTTATCTCAAAAATAGCCCCGCGTATTCATTCGAATAGAGCTGTCGTAACCAGCGGGTTGATAACAAAATGTAAATACAAAGTGTCTCCGTAACGACTCCCGTAGAAGCTCTAGTAGTTTCAATTAAGACACGAGCACATCCAAATCCGTTAGAGACCGTTTGAGCGCCAGGAGTTTCTTATTAAGAAAGGACACACGTTCAACATGAGCGCAATGATTGAGCCCCTTTCATGCCTCCGTATATATTGGCCTTCCTCGTCTGTATGCACCCGAAAGCTAGCAGGAATGGCCAGATTAAGGGTGAAACAATAAGGCGAGGGGTGGAAACGGCATGGATACAGCCAAGGGGTTGGAGGTCTCCTTTGTTGAATGGCTCAGTTGGCATCACAGAGGATACATTTGCAAATTGTCGGGTTTATATACGAGATATACAGGTATGTACGTGAGAACCCATTGACGAATAACAGCTTTATTGTAGGTGGAGAGCAAACAACATTTTTAGTAAATGACGTTAACTATCACTGGACAACAAATTTTAGTTTTTTAATTGTATCTTGTGGGAAAAGTGCACTTCTTTGTTAATTTTGGGGAGCTGAATCCAAAAATGACAATGAAATAAAAAAATAAGTTGTGGTTTAGAAAAAAAACTTTTTATTTTTAAGGATATATTACAAAAAGTAACAAGATTCATATACTTATAAGAATCACTATATGCGCTGTCTTTTTGCTGTTCTTTTATGGATCGTTTCTGGAGCATCTCTACCAAGAGTCCAACAGTAGTCTGCAAGCATGGAAGGATTCCAGTTTCCCTGGTACCTTTTTTCCATTGTTGAAATATCCTGATGAAAACGTTCGCCGTGCTCATCACTTACGGCTCCGCAATTGTCAGGAAAAAAGTCCAGGTGTGAGTGTAGGAAATGTATCTTAAGAGACATATTACAGCCCATCTTTTGATACGATGACAGCATATTTTTGACAAGGGTTTTATAGTTGTCGGCTTTTCTATTTCCCAAGAAATTAGTGACCACCAGACGGAAATCATTCCAAGCAGTTTTTTCAATACCTGTTAAAGTGTTGTCAAACTGTGTATCTTTCAAAATATTTCGAATCTGTGGCCCAACAAAAATACCTTCTTTAACCTTTGCCTCACTTAGTCTTGGAAATTTCTGACGCAGGTATTGGAAAGCTGACCCATCTCTATCTAATGCCTTGACAAAGTTTTTCATTAGGCCCAACTTGATATGCAGTGGTGGTAATAAAATTTTTTTCGAATCTACTAATGGCATATGCTGTACATTTATTTGACCTGGCTCTAGGAATTGACGAACAGGCCAGTTTTGTCTGGTGTAATGAAGTGCCTTTGCCAGACTGTCCCATTCATACAAAAAACTGCAAAACTTTGTGTAGCCTAGCTGCAGCCCAAGTAAAAGTGCAACAACATTCAAATCGCCACAGATATGCCATTGTTGCTCATCGTATTTTATGCATGTCAATAGGTACTTCATATTGTCATATGATTCTTTCATCTGAACTGCATACCCTACAGGAAGAGATGGTAAAATATTTCCAATATGCAATAACACTGCCTTTAAACTCAATGTTGAACTGTCTATAAACAATCTCCATTCTTCTGGGTTATAGTTTATATTTAAAGCCGCCAGTACACCGTTAATGTTACTGTAGAAGACCAAGTTATTCTCCATATTGAAAAATGGTTCTAAGTCTTTGTGGCGTTTACGAAAAACACATACCGAAACATCGTCTTCTAACAAGTTCCACTGCTGCAGTCTTGATCCAAGTAACTCTACCTTACATTTTCGAAGTTCTAAATCTCTTACAAGATAATTTAATTCTGACTGTGTTATTTTGTGCGGTTGGTGGCATGACGTGCTCGGTATAAAATCAGGATCTCTTGACGTTGATGGCATATCTTCTTCCTGACGAATCACTCGATCGCCATGATCTGATTCGTTTTCTGATTCGCAAGTGTAGGATTCTGGGGGTTTTGGAATAGGATTTTCGTCACTGTGAGGCACAGGTCTCATCGCAGATGGTATGTTTGGGTAGTTAATAACAGATTTTTTTTCTTGGACATACCTGTGGCTTGTCCAACACAAGGTACCATGCAAAAGTAATAATCATTAATATGATTTGTAGGCTCTCTCCAAACCATTGGGATAGCAAAGCGCATAGACCGTTTTTTGCCATTTAACCAGCTCCTCAGACTTGAAGCACATGTATTACAGCAGATGTGGGGTGCCCACTGTTTGTCTTGATCACCTAGTTTACAACCGAAATAAAGCTGATATGCCTTTGTTATTACCGGAGTAATAGACCGTCTCTGAGATGCAAATGTCACATCACCACACACGTAAGAAAACTGATCTGGATTGTTTACACACTTTCGAGACATCTTGCATGAACGCTGTCAGCCAACTGAGAAAAAAATGGCTAATATAAAACAATATAATGTACACGTATGTATAACGTAACACAATCATGCTGATTACATCATCTTTCCTTGCCGAATATAAAAATGTAGCACGTACATTCTTGTGAATTACAGTATATTAACACTGCCACAGCAGGAACACATATAATTACCGTATCTCTAAAACTTGAACTAATATTGAAAAAATAAGTTTCATTCCGGTTTTAGCACATTAAAAATAGTAATATTTTGTTGATTTTATTTAGGATATTTTTTGACTGTTGATCAGTGATTAGCAAGAATCATTTGACAAGCTGCCTAACTCACAAAAAATATTATAAATGATGATGAATTATTTATTGTAGCTGTTATCGTACATGTATCAAACACGCAGATTTCCCATGAATTACTTTTATATTCTATCGTTTTTCATTAGAGGCTGCGTAAAGCTCTTCTCAACTCCCTTGTTGACAATTTCTGATTCAATCCTACGTTCATCGGTTGTTCCTGATAAGTGGAAGGTTGCCAAAGTCTGCCCAATTTTCAAGTCGCAAGACAGAACCTTAGTCAATCATTATAGGGCGATCACTATACTGAATAATTTTGCAAAGCTCTTTGAAATAATATTGTATTCCAGAATTTACCTGGCAACTAAAGACCATCTGTCAGTGCATCAGCACTATTTCGAATTTGACCACGTTCAGTCAATATCTATGGGAGACGGTAGACAATAGGGGGCAAGTGGATGTCATATATACTAAGTGATATATAAATCCGAACACCCAGTTTAAATGGTTTTATTTTAATAAAATTTTGTATAAGTACTTAATGAAGCATAATAAGTAAATGATAAATATTTCAAAATGATTGCACTGCTTTAAAGCCCTTGGACCTTTAATAATGTGTGGATGCACCTTGATGTGCTACGCATTCTCCAACGCGCCTAGGCATGCTTCTGATCAGGTGGTCAATGTCCTCCTGTGGTATCTCATTCCAGGAAACCACCAACTCCTCTCGAAGTGATTCTAGAGTCTGAGGAGGACGTTGCAAATTGAGCAATCTCCTACCCATCATATCCCACACGTGCTCAATTGGGGATAAGTCGGGAGATCTTGGTGGCCATGGTAACAATGTGACATTATGTTGAAAGAAGTGTATTGTGACTCTTGCAACATGTGGTCGGGCATTATCTTGTTGGAAAGTTGGATCTACCAGGGTATCAAGATACGGTAAAAGATGGGGTTCTAGAACTTCGTGGATATAACGCTGCGCGTTCATGTTACCTCTGATGAAGATTAAAGGTGACCTGGAACCATAAGCTATAGCACCCCAAACCATAACTCCAACAGTGTGATGAACATGTCTTTCAACAAAAAACTGTGGATTCTTCCTTTCACCACGTCGCCTTCTAACCCTGGCACGACCATCGTGCATGCCTAACCAAAATCGAGACTCGTCACTAAAGACAATACTGTTCCATTCCTGATCCCAGAGTGACCGTTGTCTGCACCACTCAAGGCGATTACGTCGGTGTTCTCGAGTTAGAGGGAGGACTCAGTGTGGCCGGTATAAAAACAAGCCAAAACTTCTCATTCGTCGGTAAACACTTCGCATACCAATAGGTCTTCCGTGTTCTGCAAACCATTCATTTGCAATGGACCTGGTAGTGGAGAAACGGTCCCTTAAGGCCAATAATCTTAGGCGGCGATCTTCACGTTCTGGTGTTCTACGGCGGCGTCCAGTGCCCCTTGCTCTTTGCGTACGGCATTCTCGAAGCCATGCCTGACAACACCTAACCACAGTGTCTACACTTCTTTGCACTCTAACTGCAATTGCCCGAAAAGAAAGTCCAGCTTCCCGAAGTCCCACTATACGGCCCCTATCAAACTCACTAAGTTGACGAAATCGTACAGGTCTCCGTACTCTAGGCATCGTAACCGATCGTAAAGGATGTCAAGAACCAAAATCCGCCAACATTGGTTCTTTACTGCGGCTGAAATATTTATTTTTAGAGCGTTAGTGAATTAAAAAAAAGCAGTATAAAAACCGGAAAGTCCAACTGATAAGGCTGAAGATTTTTTCACTTGTTATTTACAGTAAGATAAATACATTCACCAACTTTTATTAAAATAAAACCATTTAAACTGGGTGTTCGGATTTATATGTCACTTAGGATATGTACTACGTTCAATTGTTGCTTTGCTGGAATTCTATTTACTTTACTGAATTTTTTTTTGATTGTATTTTCACATTCACAGGCAATCTTAATTTTATCCGTACACAAAGCACTCACCAATTTCTAAAAAAAAAAAAAAGATTTTAATTACCGAATTCCTAAGTATAGTTTTCTGGCTTCAGCGATAACAGTTGTGGTGTGGCTATTATTTTGCTTGTTGTTCTGTAATAATGTAGTTACGAAGTATAAAGGGTAGTCATTTTTTCTTACTATTCCTTTCATTGATGATATATTTTTATGATGCAATTCTAAGTCGGATGGATATAATCTTCAGAGAAAGTAGGATTCTGGTGCCAACCAAATTTGACTTTGTTGGATGAACCGTGGCTTATGTTATTTTCCTGTAGAGCCCTGAAAAAGGAAATACATTTTTCCGAAACGTCGGCGACTTTGAAGCAAGAAACTGTGTTTCTTTACAACCCATATCCAATTAAATATCAACGAATAAAAAACATTTAAATGTACCTCTTTCATAGAAAATACTGAAAAGTGTTTTAAATCCTGCTTGGGGCTTGCCGCTCGTGTTTGTGGAGTCAAGGTCATTAGGAGCCAGGATCATATTGAACATACAAGGTTCTCACATTTCTCAAATACATTAAAATAGCTTCGTGCAAGAAGCTCAGTAACAGCGTCTCTCTGAACATACCAGTTTCAATTTGATATACGTCAATTTCGGCAAATGAACAACTAATTCCGCGGAACGGTATCAAGGGAGCAGGAATCGTGCGCCAGATCATCCGGATGTATCTTGCCCATGAATAATAGTGAATCGTCTAGCAGCACCGCAGCGCAGAATTGCGCGATACCATGTAGCGTATGCTATCTAATTCGGTTCGATTGGTTATGTTGACATAAAGGAAATAATATGGTGATATAATGTATATCGAAAACTATGCTGAACGTATCATCCGAATATGTACGCACATTCGTTTTCCAATTGGATATCTCTCCATGTATATGGCAGAATAGGTTATCATTTCGCTTGCGATTAATTATCCCGATGAGATTCTTAATGAATTCTAAAAGAAAAAAAAATGTTTTTAGTAAGCAACCTGCGGCCAGGTTTCTGCCAACTCAGGGTCGCATGCAAGAAAAATATATTATGTTTTATTTTTGCTTGTTTTTTTCCCTCTTGTGGGTTTGATACCCGGTTAGCGTAGGGGACGAACTAAAATGCGGTGGGCAACGTAAAAAGAAGGTTGGGAGTGACTTAACCGAGCTTTATTCGACATTCCACGACCTCATTTGGAATTTCATCCAGTCCTGGTGCCTTACCAGTTTTCAAATGCGTTGCAGCTTCTTGCAGCTCACTAATGATGAACTCTGGTAGTTTCCTCAAATTTCCATTCGGTGACTGAGTACTATAGCGTCTGACACACCGGAAGAACTTGACTTGAAGGCCAACTCAATATTAGAAAATTTTCAGTCTTGGATAAGGAAAAGTCAGTCAATAGTTAATGAAATCAACATCATAAACGTAAACTACCAACTGCTATCACGTTGAAGTTAAATAATTTTTGACAGGGTTGAATAAAGTTTTTAGGGGTAATAGATGAGAGACTCAGCTGGAGAGATCATCTAGATTATGTCTTAAAAAAAATAAGATCAGCTTATTTTGCGTTGCATAACATGAAAAACATAATGTGTACCAAGGACTTACTAAATGTCTATTTTGCAACTGTATATCATCATTTGAAGTACCTTTTTCTCTGTGGGTGCTCAGCGCGCATTCATATTTCAAAAGAGGATTATACGGTTAATATTTTCGTTCAGCCGTCTAGAGACTTGTAGTACGACCTTTCAGTCAAATCATCTGTTGACATTTCCCAGTGTTTTTATACTTGAGGCTTGCTTATTCGTAAAAAATAATTATTATAAGTTTACATACATTGAGGACCAGCAAAAATACAACCTTCGCAACAATAAAGACATATGTATTGCAAATTACAATCTAACCGCTTATCGTAAAAGCCCTGATTATAATGGGTGATTTTTTTGCTAGTATCTTTTTGGCAACACCGTTTTTGACAGATGGCGCGTGAATCGTGTCTTGTTACGAACGAAAAACGCATGCTAATTATTGAATTTTACTATCAAAATTCATGCTCGGTTAAGAGACTGCATCGAGCACTGCTTCCAATTTATGTGCAATTTGGTCGGCCTACTGAGGGAGCTATTCGGAAGCTTGTGACTAAATTTCGAACCCAGTTTACATTATTGGACATTAAACCACCAACACGCAGGCGTAGAGTGAGGACTTAAGAAAATATTGCAGCTGTATCCGCCAGTGTTAGTGATGACCGTGAAATGTCGATTCGCCGCCGTTCGCAGCAATCGGGCCTCTGTTACTACGTGGACAGGATTTGGGTGTAAAACCTTATAAGATACAGCTGGTGCAAGAATTGAAGCCACACGACCTCCAACAACGTTTCCAATTTGGTGAATGGGCGCTGGCAAAGTTGGAAGAAGATCCACATTTTTATCGAAAAATTGTGTTCAGCGACGAAGCTCATTTCTGGTTAAATGGGTACGTTAACAAACAAAATTGCCACATCTGGAGTGAAGACCAGCCAGAAGCATTGCAAGAGCTACCAATGCATCCCGAAAAAATCACTGTTTGGTGTGGATTATGGGCCGGTGGCATCATCGGGCCGTACTTCTTCAAAGACGACAATGGCCGGAACGTAACTTTTTTTTGCTCACAATGGAAGAGCTGGAATTCGCTGACATGTGGTTTCAACAAGATGGTGCCACATGTCACACCGCACACGAAACAATGGCCCTATTGAGAGGCGAGTTCGGTGAACAGTTTATCTCACGTTTGGGGCCCGTCAATTGGCCGCCTAGATCGTGTGATTTAGCGCCGTTGTACTATTTCTTGTGGGGCCATGTTAAGGATAATGTCTACAGGGATAAACCAGCAACGATTGACGCACTGGAAGCCAATATTGAAGCATTTATTCGTGAGATACCGGCCGATATGTTGGAGAGAGTGTGCCAAAATTGGACCTTGCGCATGGGCCATCTAAAGCGGAGCCGCGGCCAACATTTACATGACATAATCTTTAAACATTAAATTATATCGACCGTTTATCGACTCAAATTTTTTCAAATTTTTTGTGTTTTTTTTGAAAATCAAATCCTATACCTCTTAAAAAATCACCTGTTATATACTAAGTGACATATAAATCCGAACACCCAGTTTAAATGGTTTTATTTTAATAAAATTTTGTATAAGTACTTAATGAAGCATAATAAGTAAATGATAAAAATTTCAAAATGATTGCACTGCTTTAAAGCCCTTTGACCTTTAATAATGTGTGGATGCACCCTGATGTGCTACGCATTCTCCAACGCGCCTAGGCATGCTTCTGATCAGGTAGTCAATGTCCTCCTGTGGTATCTCATTCCAGGCAACCACCAACTCCTCTCGAAGTGCTTCTAGAGTCTGAGGAGGACGTTGCAAATTGAGCAATCTCCTACCCGTTATATCCCACAAGTGCTCAATTGGGGATAAGTCGGGAGATCTTGGTGGCCATAGTAACAATGTGACATAATTATGTTGAAAGAAGTCTATTGTGACTCTTGCAACATGTGGTCGGGCATTATCTTGTTGGAAAGTTGGATCTGCCAGGGTGTCAAGATAGGGTAAAATATGGGGTTCTAGAACTTCGTGGATATAACGCTGCGCGTTCATGTTACCTCTGATGAAGATTAAAGGTGACCTGGAACCATAAGCTATAGCACCCCAAACCATAACTCCAACAGTGTGATGAACATGTCTTTCAACAAAAAACTGTGGATTCCTCCTTTCACCACGTCGCCTTCTAACCCTGGCACGACCATCGTGCATGCCTAAACAAAATCGAGACTCGTCACTAAAGACAATACTGTTCCATTCCTGATCCCAGAGTAACCGTTGTCTGCACCACTCAAGGCGATTACGTCGGTGTTCTCGAGTTAAAGGGAGGACCCAGTGTGGCCGGTATGAAAACAAGCCAAAACTCCTCATTCGTCGGTAAACACTTCGCATGCCAATAGGTCTTCCGTGTTCTGCAATTCCATTCATTTGCAATGGACCTGGTAGTGGAGAAACGGTCCCTTAAGGCCAATAACCTTAGGCGGCGATCTTCACGGTCTGTTGTTCTACGGCGGCGTCCAGGGCCCCTTGCTCTTTGCGTACGGCCTTCTCGAAGCCATGCCTGACAACACCTAACCACAGTGTCTACACTTCTTTGCACTCTAACTGCAATTGCCCGAAAAGAAAGTCTAGCTCCCGAAGTCCCACTATACGGCCCCTATCAAACTCACTAAGTTGACGAAATCGTACAGGTCTCCGTACTCTAGGCATCGTAACCGATCGTAAAGGATGTCAAGAACCAAAATCCGCCAACGTTGATTCTTTATTGCGGCTGAAATATTCATTTTTAGAGCGTTAGTGAATTAAAAAAAAGCAGTTTAAAAACCGGAATGTCCAACTGATAAGGCTGAAATTGTTATTTACACTAAGATAAATACATTCACCAACTTTTATTAAAATAAAACCATTTAAACTAGGTGTTCGGATTTATATGTCACTTAGTATATACGCCGCTGTATACAGTCATCTACCTAATCATATCAAAACCTTAGTTTCTACTAAATCTTTAAAAAAATGTGAGCAACCATTTTTGGTAGAAAAGTTCTATTATTCTGTTAATGACTTTGTATCGATTTTGTCGTAACTTTGTTTCATTGTATTCAATGTAATTTGACGTTTCATATCCGCTAGGCTGACATGAATAAAAGTTATTATTAGTATTATTATTATACTTCGGAAAAAATCACTCTGAAATTTCAATTTTTGTTTGCTCTTCTGTATCCAGGTACTGAGTTTTAGCTTTTCCATAGTTATATTGCATGCTTGACTCCAAACGTCATTTTCTAAGTCATCTAATGCGTCCATCCATATCCCCTGTTTGGAGTTTATTAGTACTTTTTTGGCATACTGATGTTCTTTCAAGTACCAGAACGTTGTTCCTTGTGACCAGGAGAAACTGTCCATATTAATTTCGTACTAGACA